GTCATTACATTATTTTATAATTCATAGGTTTCACCCCAGGATACAGTACTGCAGACATGGATAGTCTTCATAAAAGACACAAGATTGGAATTAATTGGTGGAGGAAAATAAATAAGAGAGACTGTGTTAAGCCTATTAGTCTAAAGTAAACAGGTCATGTAAGCCTGATGCTCTGAGTTCTGCTTATTGCATAAACAATTGGGTGCAAGTTCTGTATCCAGTTTCCGGACACACATTTTTTTAAATTAAAAAATAAATAGTGGTGGCAGAAAAATAATCAACTGTCTCTTGGACCACCCACATGGCCTATAATCCAGTGGAAGAATTACCTATTCTAGGCTAATGTGTTTTACAGTACTATAATTATTGGGTTTAAACTGCCTAAAACCATTGGAAGTTACATATAAAGATACCTGTGTGTTAGGCATTCATCTTTCTGATAAGAAAACTTTAACTCAGATTGAATCAACCCCATCTTCCAAAGGAAATTTGTCTCATATACTTACCTGCTATGTAAAATCATATGTTGTATTTGCTTGATTCTTTCATGCTTTTTTTATTGCCTTTACTGGGAGTTTCATATGTCAGATGACCTCAGGACTGGATGTGTAGGGTGGCCAACACATGGTGTTTATACTTTGCAGCAGGTAGTGGCCATAGTTGGTACATGGGGGAGGTAATATGGTGGTCAAGGACCTAGTCATACAGGAAAGGTTGTTGGGTACACAACATTGAGTGGCTATAAATACAGTCCATGGACAGATCAAGACTTTTTTTTAGTTATTTAAGAACAAAATCATGCTGATGCTCAGCACAATAATGTTCTTCATCTCAGGGCCTGGAATTGAATTTTCAACTTAATTCTTTGGGAATGAAGCCTGGATAAAGCTTTCCCTTTTATCTTAGCTGAAAGGTGAACAGTTTATTCTTTCGTCACAAAGTTGGAAAAATAATTAAATAAAGTATCCATAACAGCATTGATATTGCTAAAAAGATAGCTCGGATCCTTGGAACAGAAATCCAAGGTATTGTTTTATATTCCCTGCAAGAATTAAGTTCCTCCACCAATGACTTTTTTGCACTAGGAGTGGAAACAATAATGGGATAATAGTAAAGCAAAGTTTAGCAAATATGATCTGCTGCTAGTAATGGAACATCTTTTATATTTGTTAAATGTTGTTTTACCACTCATCATTGCCATGGATAGTGCAAAAAAGTCATTGGTGGGGAAACTTAACTCTTGCAGGGAAGTGAAGAGTTTGAAAGCAGGTAAATGCAGCATGCAAAGTACTGATACAAAAAATGTGCATCCTAAATTTAGCAAGGAAACATTAGCCTGTTGCCACACAAACTGAGATGGGAAACACATAATTGTTCCCTACAAGTATTCTCCATTGGTTTGTACACTTCCATTTTAAATTACTCTTGTAACGGGGAACCTTAGAAGATTATTGCACAGTCAGATGACTCCCATCCCATGGTTCGTCCCCACATGTATATATCAGAAGAGCGGCACAGAGGGAAAGTTTAGGGTGCCACTACCATGCCCAATCCTGGCTCCCCTATAACATGTAATTGACATGCCATAGGCTCTTTACGTGTTGAAATATGGAGGAGTGTTTGGGTCAGAACTCACAGGAATGAAAAACATGTTAATTTGTGCCATTTGAGAGAGTAACCCAAAGAGCCAGAATCCTAGTGTTTTGGCTTCAAATAATTGATCGTGGTTATCACATGCCAATGTCCTACCCACCCCGTCAGTCACTGTAAATTCTTTTTGCAGACATCGATTCCACTAGCTCCTTAATCACTTCTACTTTACTTTGAGTTCCGTCCAGTTGGTTGATCTTTCTCTTGTACTGCAATACAATATTCTCAGTGTGATCTCACAACCAGCATTGGTGGGGGACTCTCATCTTGTTGGTCTGTGATGTGATGCCTCTGTGCTTGCAGACCGAAACTCCATTAATTTGATTTTCAATTCTCATCTAATTAGCAGTCCATTGTCATCCTCACGCTCTTCCAGCAGTCCTGCTTTCCAGGCACAAACATCTGCCTCCCCTGGTGTGTTTGATTAGTTTCCTCCAGATTTTAATAGCTATATTTTTCCCCATTGAGTCTCAGTTTGTTATATTCTGCTCATGTTTCTAGTCACTCTGTGTTCCTTTATTATTTATCTTTTGTCTCCGTTGTTCACGGATTGGCCTATACTAGAAGGGCTGATACAAGATTGATTATACCTAGGGCTTGAAAAGAGCCCCAACTGATAGTACCTGGCCTTCACCCCAAAGGTTTTTTGCACTAGACAGTCTTTATTTTGTAACTGAAAAAAAGCTCGGTCTGAGAATTGCCTGAAGGCACTGAGGGCCTAATTCTGTTGCTAAGGAATTTTGCCCTGGCTTGGAAGGGCAGAGGGCTGGCAATTCCATATCACTTTTAGCCTTCAGATCAAGAGTAGATTAACAATGGGAGAGTAAATCAGTCAATGTCATTTATGTCACTCAGATGTGAATTAGCCACCCTGCTGCGTGACATAATTTATGCTGATTTAAGCACTAGTGTGGACAGTCCTATGTTGATGGGAGAGTTTCTCCCGCCAATGTAGCTGCTGACACTCGCGGGAGCTGGAGTAATTAAGCCAATGAGAGAGTTCTCTCCTGTCCGCTTAGAGCGGCTACACTAGAGTGCTTACAGGGGCGCAGCTGTATCGGTGCACCTGCGCCCCTGTAAGCTCTCTAGTGTAGCCATAGCCGATGGGACTGATGTAACTCCCACTGAAATTAATGAAAAGACTTTCATTGTCTTCAGAGGGAGTGGGGATCACTAGGTTAAGGGAAATGATTATCTTAATCATAGGAAGAAAATGAGGTGGCTGCTGCTATGAAAAGGATCCAGCCTTTTGTAACATTATGTGACTTTAAGAAATAAAAACCCAGCTGTCTGAATTTTCAAGTTTTCTAGTTTTTAAGTCTTGTTAATCAATTTTTAATGCAAAAATAAAAAGGGTAGAAAAATGCCACCCATCCCTCCACAGAATAATTGATTTTTATGAGACCTTAACTAAATATCTACAAACAAATGCTCTGCTTCATTCTGACAGGCCTGAGAGAGTAACATGAACGGGGCAATGGAAATCAAAGGAAAATAGGCTGCATTTGTAAAATTCTCTGGAAAATGTTATTGGCAACCCATGCTTTATTTTGGAGCCACCATATAACTGGGATCACAGGCATATTTGTGAGGAATGTAAATAAGTAAACATTTGAAATATTTGGCAAGTTTGCATCCAGAAATAATGCTTCATTACAGCGTACAATAAGAGAAACCAAAGTATTTCTGTGGTAATTTACAATGCTCCTTAAATCTGTTTAACTCCGCCATTTTTTAAAAATCTGTTTGCATTTTGTAAGGCAGTTTACAAGTACATCGGTGTGTATGTACAAAACACACACATAGAATTTAGGTGTAATATAAAATACAGGTAAGAATACAGGCTCCCCAAATTTTGGTGCACTGTGGTTAAGAATGTATTGTACTGTTACAGAAATGTTCTCAGGTATTATTGCAGCCATGTTGTACACAGGTATCTGGTGAAATATTCTAGCTCCACGGGTAGTTTCTGTAGTGTTTTAACATCTGTAGGTTAATGGATATTTAGTTCAGAATTGTGATACTCAGGTAAATGTGCAGGTATTGGTTATCCAGAATGTAAATGAGAGGTACATTTGTGTAGGGGTGTTATAGTGTAATTTTAGGTCAAGGTCCTCTTGTTTTGCTTTTGTTCCTTGTGCATTACAAGTGACTATAAGGCACAACACTTCCCACCTAGAATTGAGACTGTCCAATCCGAACTATGGTCTGTTCTATGTTTTGTAGTTCTGGTCTATTGTTGAGCCAACAATAGCAACAAGCTTTCCTATTCTGAGCCATAAGGTTGTGATGTGTTCACTTGATGCTGCTATTAATATTCTTAGTTGTCTTGTGGCTCTGAATGTGTGTTTCGCAGCAGGAAGTCTCCTAGGCTGGTTTTTTTTTTTTTTTAATCAGACGTATGTCAAAGATTTTCTGTAGCTTTTTTCTGTGTATGAGCAAAATGTTTGAAATCTGTCCCAGAAAATGTGTGTGCAGTGAACTACTAAATCACATTAAAGTAATCTTTAATAGTCTTTAATTAATCTTTAATATTTAAACATTTTTTCAAGGAATGGGATAGAATGATGGATTTGTTATCAGCGAGATTTAACATGCTTCTTGTTAACTGACATCTCTCAGGGGACATTTAAGTTTTTCCTTTCACCATGCGCCTACATAGGAGGTTATTCTAGAACTTTAGAAAGGACAACCTGTTAGAACTTGACAATGCTTATATCAGGAGTTCTCAAACTTTTTCATAATGGGATGGTTTTTCATTCAGTAGAAAATCCAGCTTTCCACTGGAGAAAAGTTTCAAACAGAAATAATTTGATTAGCCCTACTCATCATGTAAGTAGAGTGCATGTCTCATGGATATCTTCCCTCCTACTGGCAATCACACAAAGCACCTGCTTTCCCATTCCGAGGCGCATTACACCCCTGTGGCAAACTACAGCGACTGTCTGCCTCAAGAATAGTGTGGGGAAAGCTGTCTTTAATGTGATTCAGCAGCTCCAAGCAAGTAGGAGAGCCAGAACCGTCGGCCCAATCTTACACTCACTCACACATGTGCTCAACTTTACTCATAGGAATAAGCATTTTCAGGATAAAGGCCCATGTAACCAGCCTGCACTCCTCCACGTACCAGCAGTCGCTGTGTGATTCATAGACCGTTTGAAATCCACCATCCTGCACTCTTTTCAGAATGGCTTGTGAGGAGCTGAAAATCAGATTCCTTTTGAGGGCTTTGTGAAGGTGAGAAAGGGAATAGAGGGGCAAGGTTAGTGGGGATATGATAGCAAGTGAGACGTCTGCTGGTAGTACTGAGCTTTATTAAATCCTTTGTCTCCTTTTTCTGTTTTCACCAGGTAGCTGCATTTTGTGATGTTGATGAAAATAAAATAGCGAAAGGTTTCTACACTTACCAAGAATCCAAGGTTAGTAACAATTAGTGTCACTTCCATTACTGTCATCTGGAATTATCTTGTGAGAAGAGACATTCTAAGCTCATTAGACAAACAACAACAAAAAGAGTGTCACTAATTTTAAATATAGTGAAGAATTATAGTGTGCAGTCCATACTATATTTATTTAATTAGGGGTCTAGATGGCTGGGGATGGGTAATGGAATGTGTGGAATTTTTCTTCCTATACAGTAGGGAGCCAGAGTGACATTTAGCACCAATTGTGATTGTGTTTTTTTGTAATATGAGAACCAAATGAGAGCAGCAACTCATTTCACATAGTGCATAGAACAGATGGTGGTAAGTTTTGGTCAGTTCCAACCCCTGCTAGAATGAAACCATTGGCCTCTCTTATGTTAGCAATCCTGCACCCTCCAGTCTCCTCACCAATAGATATTGCTACATGTGGGGAATAAGCAGGCAGGAACAGAGGCTCTTCAGGAACAAGGATCCTGTTTTCATGTAGATGCTCTTTGAGCTCTGGTCAAGTGAAAAATCTCTAGAAATGCAGAATAAGAAAGGGAATTACGTGGATTGAGTTGGAGGGAGGGGGCAGGGGGAGAGATTTATAGAAGCAAAATTATTTCCCTGAAGACTGTTTTCCATGAAGATTCAACTGCTCTTTAGTAGGAGAGGGGAAATGGAATGATGTGGGGTTTCATGACTTAGCATCTCCTGCGTCAATAAATTATACCAATAAAAAGCATGATCACAGCAAGTCTGTGTGGGAGAGAGGTCAGTTTCTAGATCTAAGGTAAGGGAAGTTCTTTGTACTGTAGTTGAGAGGGAGCCAGGAGCACACTGCAGTCACTGAAACTGTGGTCAGTTTAGAGGGGAAGAAAAACAAATGTCTTTTTAATGTATTCTGTGTATGGGGCCAAACTCCTGTTGAAGTGAGTTTTACTACCGACTTTAGTGGGAGCAGGATTTGGCCCATGGTGCATAAAAGCTAAAATCTGTGGTGAAAGAAAGGAAGGAAGAAAGAAAAAGAGAAAAGTTTAGTGGTTATTTATAGAGCTATATTCAACCTAGCACAGTGTTTCTGTTTGAAGAAGAGTCCAAAGGATAGATTGTAACATGCTCCCTAGGTGACATGTCTCTCACTAGCCCAGCTGGGAATCACCTGGACAAATGTAGGCAGAAGGTTTTTGTGTTACTCAAGATAAAGGAAGAAGATATTTAAATGGCAGTAAATGAACCATCTAAAAAGAAAGTGTCACAGTCCTGGAGCAATATTGATTTTTATGGTAATAAAACAATTTAGCGCCATTCATGAGAATCTACTGTAAGCATAAGGCCAGATTCAGTGCTGTTGATTTCACTGGGCAGTCAGACCCCTGGAGCTCAGGACTCTGCGAAGCTGATGTATGCCATCAGCTCCTGCTGAAGGCAATGGGAATTGAGGGTGTTTAGTAACTTTGTAGTATCCAGAGTCTTCATTCTTGATGATACAGTTGAAGTATTTGTGTAATAAGCTCTGACCTGAAATCATGTGTACATCTATCTAAGGCATTACAGAAAGTAGTTGTTTATGGTGACCCAGAAACTACATTGTATTTGAAGTGAAAGGCAAAATAATGAGCCATTCTAATACATGATCTTTGAATACAATTTCACTCTTTAATGCCAAACAACCCCCATTATTGAGCTAAAAATAACCCTTTATGTCTTCTAATGAAATTTCACTGTTTGCAGGAGAGACCAAAACCCCAAATTCCCATACAACATTTCAGAGACGCAACCCCACCTTTCATTATCTGTGTAAAGTTGGTGAGTACAGTTTTTGGCATAAGCTATCTGTATCTGCTAGCATCACCCTAATTAAGGATGTGCTTTTGGTTTATTATAAAACTCATTTTCCAGTGGTTTATAGAAGTGTTTTTAGTAGGGCTGTCAAGCGATTAAAAAAAATTAATTGTGATTAATTGCACTGTTAAAGAATAATAGAATACCATTTATTTAAATATGTTTGGATGTTTTCTACATTTTCAAATACATTGATTTCAATTACCACACAGAATACAAAGTGTACAGTGCTCACTTTATATTATTTTTATTACAAATATTTGCACAATAAAAAACAAAAGAAATGGTATTTTTCAGTTCACCTAATACAAGTATTGTAGTGCAATCTCTTTATCGTGAATGTAGAATTATGTACAAAAAATAACTGCACTCAAAAATAAAATAATGTAAAATTTTAGAGCCTGCATGTCCACTCAGTCCTACTTCTTGTTCAGCCAATCACTCAGACAAACAAGTTTGTTTACATTTGCAGGAGATAATGCTGCCCGCTTCTTGTTTACAGTTTCACCTGAAAGTGACAACAGGTGTTTGCATGGCACAGTTGTAGCCAGCATCGCAAGATAATTACATGCCAGATGCTCTAAAGATTCATATGTCTCCATAAGCTTCAACCACCCTTCCAGATGACATGCAGCCATGCTGATGAGGTGTTCTGCTCGATAACAATGCAGAGCAGTGCAGACCGACGCATGTTCATTTTCATCATCTGAGTCAGATGTCACCAGCAGAAGGTTATTTTTCTTTTTTGGTGGTTTGGGTTCTGTAGTTTCCGCATTGGAGTATTGCTCTTCTAAGACTTCTGAAAGCATTTTCCACACCTCGTCCCTCTCAGTGTTTGGAAGGCACTTCAGATTCTTAAATATTGGGTCGAGTGCTGTAGCTATCTTTAGAAATCTCACATTGGTAGCTTCTTTGTGTTTTGTCAAATCTGAAGTGAAAGTGTTCTTAAAACGAACAACGTGTTGGGTCATCATCCGAGACTGCTATAACATGAAATATATGGCAGAATGCAGGTAAAACAGAGCAGGAGACATATAATTCTCCTCCAAGGAGTTCAGTCACAAATTTAATTAGTGCATTTTTTTAAACGAGCGTCATCAGCATGGAAGTTGGAATGGTGGCGGAAGCATGAACGGGCATATGAATGTTTAGCTTATCTGGCACGTAAATTCCTTGCAGTGCTGGCTACAAAAGTGCCATGTAAATTCCTGTTCTAATTTTCAGGTGACATTGTAAATAAGAAGCAGGCAGCAATATGTCCCGTAAATGTAAACTAACTTGTTTGTCTTAGCGATTGGCTGAACAAGAAATAGGACTGAATGGGCTTGTAGACTCTAAAATTTTACATTGTTTTGTTTTTTGAGTGCAGTTATGTAACAAAAAAAAATCTACCTTTGTAAGTTGCACTTTCATGATAAAGATATTGCATTATGGTACTTGTATGAGGTGAATTGAAAAACACTATTTGTTTATCATTTTTACAGTGCAAATACTTGTAATAAAAAATAATATAAAGCGAGCACTGTACACTTTGTATTCTGTGTTGTAATTGAAATCAATATATTTGAAAATATAAAAAAGCATCCAAAAATATTTAATAAATTTCAATTGGTATTCTATCATTTAACAGTGTGATTAATCACAATTAATTTTTTTTATCGCAATTAATTTTTTGAGTTAATCGCGTGAGTTAATTGCGATTAATCGACAGCCCTAGTTTTTAGTCAAAACTCATCCTAAGATGTAGAGGCCAATTTTGTGAAATCGTTTTTAGAGATTATTGCAGGGAGGGAATGGAAATGTTGGAGTAATATTAAGAGTAATAAAAGCAAGGATATCTTTAAAGGGTCCTTAATCAGTTCTCCCTTTTTGACGTACCATTTTGTGGGCACAAATGTCCTTGCATGTTGCAGACATGGTTGGTCACTTGCCCTTGTTTGTACCCAAAATATTGCAACCATAACTGTGTTCAGGCACAGAAACTGTGGGTGCAGAAACAGAGACTTTGTTTTATAAACCAGGCCCTTAAGTCATTGTGTGCAACATGCCCATCCTTAAGCCTCTTCTGCGTCTGAGAACTGCTGAGAGTCAAAGACTGCAACCGCTTTCTCTTTCACTCATTCGGTTGACTCCTGAATTACTAAAAGATGAGCAGCAGATATTCTGCTATTACATTAAAATAACAACATAGCACAACACAAATAAGGAACAACACAAAAGCATAAGATCAGATGCTGAAAGGCATGATAGCAAATACCCTCTCACTGTGAATACTAAAAGTTACTGAAACTTGCAACTAACGCTACATATTTAAAAACCATATTGGCAGGTTTCCTTCATATAAACAAAGACATTTAAAACCTATTCGGTTTTTATGATTGTTTAGCTGAAATTCATCCCCTACAATCCCCTTTGACCTTAGCACTCCCAAGGTTAGGGTCAGCGCAGAGATCAAAGTACTTCACAGTTGTAAAACCAGACTGCAAGTACCCCAGGGCATTATCATGTAGACAGGTTGGTAATAAGCCTGACATTGGCTAGTAATATTGCAACTAATTTAATTTTTCATATGAAACATAATGGTAGATGGAAGACCAAGGACAAAACAGCTGCATAACCCATTATAAAGTACATCTAATTTCTGAAGCCCTGACAAGGAAGCTATTATACAATATCTTGTGTGCTCTGAAAACTCTGGTCCATGATTTCAACTGTAATTTTACAGTACTTTTCTCTATCAGTGACTGTATTCTGTGTGCAGACTACATTATACTGCATAGCACCTTTAAAGACAATGTTTTTGGAGCCACAATTTGGTCTACTTAGATGGAATCTTTGTGGAATGGCCTCTGGAATCTCAATATCTTTTAATCACCTTTCTGTTGCTGTGAAATTAAGAATGAAAATAGTCACAATTTTGGTGTCAAATACCCGGAGACCATGGCCAAGTAACATCCTCATTTACACTTTTGCACCCTACTGTCTGAGGTGTCTTGTTGGCTGATGGTAACACTGATGTTACTGGAGCTGAGATCATAAATTCTGCTAGTGAGGCAGCATAGAGTCATAGAATATCAGGGTTGGAAGGGACCTCAGGAGGTCATCTAGTCCAACCCCCTGCTCAAAGCAGGACCAATCCCCAACTAAATCATCCCAGCCAAGGCTTTGTCAAGCTTGACCTTAAAAACATCTAAGGAAGGAGATTCCACCACCTCCCTAGGTAACCCATTCCAGTGCTTCACCACCCTCTTAGTGAAAAAGTTTTTCCTAATATCCAACCTAACCTCCCCTACTATAACTTGAGACTATTACTCCTTGTTCTGTCATCTGGTACCACTGAGAACAGTCTAGATCCATCCTCTTTGGAACCCCCTTTCAGGTAGTTGAAAGCAGCTATCAAATCCCCCCTCATTCTTCTCTTCCGCAGACTAAATAATCCTAGTTCCCTCAGCCCTCCGCTGGACTCTTTCCAATTTTTCCACATCCTCCTTGTAGTGTAGGACCCAAATTTGGACACAGTACTCCAGATGAGGCCTCACCAATGCCGAATAAAGGGGAATGATCACGTCCCTTGATCTCTGGCAATATTCCTACTTATACAGCCCAAAATCCTGTTAGCCTTCTTGGCAACAAGGGCACACTGTTGACTCATATCCAGCTTCTTGTCCACTGTAACCCCTAGGTCCTTTTCTGCAGAACTGCTGCCTAGCCACTCAATCCCTAGGCTGTAGCAGTGCATGGGATTCTTCCATCCTAACTGCAGGACTCTGCACTTGTCCTTGTTGAACCTCATCAGATTTCTTTTGGGCCAATCCTCCCAATTTGTCTAGGTCCCTCTGTATCCTACCCCTACCTTGTTAGCGTATCTACCACTCCTCCCAGTTTAGTGTCATCTGCAAACTTGCTGAGGGCGCAATCCACGCCATCCTCCAGATCATGAATGAAGATATTGAACAAAACCAGCCCCAGGACCGACCCTTGGGGCATTCCGCTTGATACTGGCTGCCAACTAGACATGGAGCCATTGATCACTACCCGTTGAGCCTGACGATCCAGCCAGCTTTATATCCACCTTATAGTCCATTCATCCAGCCCATATTTCTTTAACTTGCTGGCAAGAATACTGTGGGAGACTGTATCAAAAGCTTTGCTAATGTCAAGGAATAACACATCCACTGCTTTCCCCTCATCCACAGAGCCAATTATCTCATCATAGAAGGCAATTAGGTTAGTCAGGCATGACTTGCCCTTGGTGAATCCATGCTGACTGTTTCTGATCACTTTCCTCTCCTCAAAGTGCTTCAAAATTGATTCCTTGAGGACCTGCTCCATGATTTTTCCAGGGACTGAGGTGAGGCTGACTGGCCTGTAGTTCCCCGGATCCTCCTATGGGCACTACATTAGCCTTTTTCCAGTCATCTGGGACCTCCCCCGATCACCATGAGTTTTCAAAGATAATGGCCAATGGCTCTGCAATCACATCCGCCAACTCCTTTAGCACCCTCGGATGCAGTGCATCCGGCCCCATGGACTTGTGCTCGTCCAGCTTTTCTAAATAGTCCTGAACCACTTCTTTCTCCACAGAGGGCTGGTCACCTCCTCCCCATACTGTGCTGCCCAGTGCAGCAGTCTGGGAGCTGACCTTGTTCGTGAAGACAGA